GGGGGGGGGGGGGGGGCGCACGCGACCCCCATGCGGGCGAAGATGCGACACCGGGTTGCGGCAGAGCGGTGGCATGTGCGGGGCTGCAGGGAATGCTGCAGCCTCCCAGCCCTGCCACCTGCGCGGGCCACCTGCGCAGCCGCTGCCAGGCACGGGTGGGCACCCACCATCGGGGAGATGTGGGAGAACAGGTAGACGACTGGCACAAACGACATCATGACCGTCGGCACCGAGAGGTAGTTGTGGGCGGCCGCCTCGAAGAACAGCAGCGCCTGTGCCAGGGTCAGGCCGGGCTGCAGGCAGGGCCAGCACCGGGCTGATCAGTGGGACTCATGAGCGGATGGGCCAAGGCCCGGCAAGGCACGGGCGGCGGGCGGCGGAGGGGGGCGTTGGTGGTGGTGGGCGTGAGCTGCGCGTCGGCCGCGGGCAGCTCCCGACCCACCAGCCGCAGCGGGTTGCTGTTCAGCAGGATCTGGAGGCCCCCCATGGACCAGCGCAGCCGCTGGGCCAGCACATCTGAGATGGACTCTGGGGCCAGGCCGTACGACAGCCGCTCATTCAGAAACCTGCGGCGTGGGCAGGCGCAGGGATAGGCTCAGGCGGCGATCCTGTCGTGGAGTGCACCCGACAGGGCAGCGGGTCCCCTGCTGCTGGCATGGGGCTTGCAGGAGCACGCTGCCGCGCCGCGCCGCACCCGCCCGCCCGCCCGCCCGCCCGCCCGCCCGCGCACATCGTGGCGTGGCCCGCGCTGAGCGCGGCCATGGCTGTGTTGTAGTCCTCGGTGATGGAGCCGTAGCTCTGGCCGCCCATGCTGACCAGCACGTCGCGGCGGAACACCACGCCGGTGCCGCAGCAGGGGCAGGCACCGATGCCGTCGCGGCCCTGCAGCATGGGGCCGTAGAAGAAGCGGGAGCAGTGCACCTGCGGGCGCACGCACGGCAGCGGCATGCACGGGGTCAGCCGAGCCCGCCGACGCGTGCCGCGCGACCCTGCAGAGGCTCCAGTTGTGGCGGCCCCAGCTGCGCCGGCGACCGCCGCTGCCAGCCGCCCGCTCACCAGCGGGTCTGTGACATCCACATTGTAAAAGTCCTGGGAGGGGGGAAGGCGGGGAGGCACGGGGCAGGCGCGGTGAGCAGGCAAGCGTCTCGCACGCAGGCGCCCGGCCCTGCCGTGGCCCCGCCGCGGCCAGCAACTTGCGCGCCGCGCCTCCCCGGCTCCTCGCCTGCGGCGTCTGGATGAAGGCGGCTCGCTCCTTGAGCACCCACTCGCCGCTGCCCTCCTCCCCAGCCCGCCGCTGGCGGTAGAAGTGGCCGATGGTGCGGTCCAGGATGGAGGGGTGGACAATCATGTCGCAGTCCAGGACCAACACATACTCGCCCTGCACGGCGCCAGGACCGAAACCTCCACCTCCCTTCAGCCCGCGTGGCAGCAGGTTCAAGCCTCTGCAGCAGGGCCAACCTGGCCATGGCAGCCTGCTGCGCAGGGTGCCTGCCGCAGACCGCACACGTCGGCCCTACCCTCTGTAGCTCACCTTGCCGGGCCCTTCCTTGAGCAGGCAGCTGTTGATGTTGCCGGCCTTGGCGTGGTGCGGCACACCCTTCACCTTGTCCCTCGCGATGTACACAATGTTGGGCTCCCGCTGCGCAGGGCAGGCAGCCGCCAGCGCATCAGAGGCGAGGTCGGCGGCCAGCGCCACACGGCACCTACGCGGCAGCTGCCCTGGTACTGCAGTACCTTCATGTGGCGGCACTGGAACTGGAGGCGCCGCACGAGGCGGGCCATGGCCGGGCGCCTGCCGTCATCCAGGATGTGCACGGTGAAGCGGGAGGAGGGCCAGGCGATGTTGAGGGCGGCGATGGCCGTGGGCTCCACCACCTCGGGAGGCTCAGAGAAGGTTGCGATGTAGATGTCAACGTGCGGCATGGCGCCCTCTGCCAGCATGCCGTGCAGCAGCCGCGGCGCGCGCTCCACCTGGGCCGCCCACCGGCCAGGCATGGGCGGCCGGGGGTCAGGCAGGCGGTCGGGCAGCGAGGTGGGGGCAGCAGCGTGGCAGCAGCCCCCACCACAAGAATCCGGCCCCGCTCGGCGCCAACTGGGCGCCAGGTCAGCGCCAGCTGGGCGCCAGCTCAGCGCACCATGTAGAACAGGCCGGCGATGAAGCAGTAGGAGAGGCAGTGGGCGGTGAATTCGGCGCACCACCAGGGCACGGAGTAGGCGTAGCCCCAGCCCGGGCGCAGCGTGCGCAGCGCGCGCCACGCAAGGTACGCCGCGCCCAGCGCCTGCGCGGCAGGGCAGCAGCGTGCGGGGCACCAGGCGGGCATGTTGCGGGCGAGGTGGCGGGCGTGGGGCTCCAGGGCTGCGCCTGCGCCTCGCACCTGGGTACACACCGCCAGCGGGCGGAACAGCCGCATCTCGGGTCGGGGCGCCGTGCCTGCACCAGCAAGGCCGGGCTGGCAGGCGCTGTCATGTCGCCAGCCTGTGCATGCGTCGGGAGCCAGGCAGCTTGGCCATCCAGGCGTACGCACCAACCTGGTGTGCCCCAGCCCTCGAAACCTCGCTCTGCCAGCCTAGCAGCGGCCCGCTGGCGATCTGCAGCCGGCTGCGAGGAAGGGGACGTGAGGAGGTTGCCGTTGTCGCCGGTGCATGCCAGCTGGGCGGGCTGCTGGGCCTGCGCCTCCACGTCGTGTGAGCTGCTGGCTGAGCAGGGGTGGACCTTGACGCTCCGGGCACGGCGAGCGGCAGCATGGCCGCCAGTGCTGAGCTTGGTGTGTGGGGCGCCGCCGACCGCGGCGCCCGCCTCTCTGTGCTTTGCGACGACTGCCAGGCGGGACAGCGGCTCCCGCCTGCCCTCGGCCACAGCCTGCAGCAGGCTGGCGAGCGCCTTGTGCCCCGCCTTGGCCGCCACGTCTGCTGGCATTGAGCCTGCAGGTGAGTCGAAGGCGCGCGGCTCGGTCTATGGAGGGCTCCTTTTGCATTGTGGTGCGGCTGGATTTGTCAGGATCAGCCACGGCATGCATGGCACCCGCATCTGGTGCGGCTCAAGCCCAGCCTACGGGGTCCCCGATCTGGCACCAGCCTCCGCACCCAGCGCATTCCTGGCGGCGGGGTCTGCGCCGTATGCGAGCAGCACTTGGGCCGTGTCCATGCTGCCCCTGCCGGCAGCGTAGTGCAGCACGGTGTCGCTCCAGCCGTCGGCCTTCTGCCTGGCAACTCCCGCGCCTCGCTCCAGGAGCCAGACGGCGGCGGCGGCCTGCCCCTGCGCCGCGGCGGCCATCAAGGCCGTCCACCCCCCAACGTCAGCATCCACCTGGAAGTCTGGCAGCGCGGTGAGGAGCTCAAGGTCGGCCAGCCGGCCACGCGCTGCAGCCAGGCGCAGCTGGCCAGCGGCAACGGGCGCCATCAGGCCGCGCCCAGCCAGCCACTTGCGCAGGCGGAAGTAGAGCAGCAGCAGCGCCACCGCGGCCAGGCTTCCGCCGAGTAGAAACACGCCATTCAGGTCGATAAGCAGCCCGCCGATGCAGGCCGGGCGGCCAAACGAATCGGTGGCCATCGTCCGCTCCCGCGATGAGGCCCGGCAAGGTGCTCTCGAGTGTCAAAATGGCATGAAGACGCAAATTGAGAGCAGCTAGCGGGGTCCAAGACGCCAACCGCCAAACAAGAAAACGCGCCGCTGGCGCCCGATGGGCGCCGGCGCCCTGCATCGGGCCGTGCCCAACGGGGCAGCTTGCAGGCCCATGGGCAGCTTCGTGCGCGCACAAAATCAGCGGTGTATTGGTGCTGTGCAGGACGGGCTGCCCGCTCGTCGCTGCAGGCCCATGCCGCGGACCGGCGGTTAGCCGCGTGTGCTGGCTTGACTTTGACGTTCACGGTTGAGGCAACACAGCAATAAACAGACAAAGGCAGCATGCCCACAACGTAAGCCGCGTGGCCTCACGCCAGGCGGTGCTGGCTGGTGGCGTCTCGGTACCCTGCGAGCGCTGGCATGAAGTCGCTGCCGCCCGTCCCCGTCTCGTCCGCTCGCTGGCTGTGCTTGGCAATGTAGTTGAAGGCAAAGGCCTTGTGCTGGGACCGGAACTTCTCCAGCTCATGCACACACTCGTTGTAAGCAGGCTGCATAGGCAGAACGGAATATTACATCATTATGGCAGGAGATGACAAGCACGCAAGGCCTGAGCAGCCATCGCCCGTGTTGCCTGGGCTGGCTGCCCCGCCACCCCACCTTGAGACTGCCAGGCTGCGCCTCGGCGGCCTGCCGCAGCGAGGGCCCCGCCTCGAGCGACGCCACGTAGGCGCGGTGCGCGGGCGGCATGTGGCGCCGCATGTCCAGCAGGTAGGCCCGCAGCCAGGAGGAGGGGTCGTGTCGGATGCCCAGCGCAGCGTCCAGCGCGTGCAGGACGGCGCTCTGAGCCCCTGTCTCGCCGTACAGCTGCTGCGGCTGCATGCCAGGCACAGCGGCAAGGCAGGCACGCAGCGGGCGCCTGAGGCCGCTGCCTGCTGGCAGGGCAGCACCCCCAGATCGGGGCATCTGGGAGGCAGTCCGGGCCCATCAACCGCTGCCCACACCGCCCTTTGCCCACTCTCCACACGCCTGTGGCCGCCCACCTGCCCCCCATACTGCGACTCGTACACCAGCCCGCCCGGCAGCGCGGGGTTGTTGCGCCAGCCGCTCATGGGCAGGCGCAAGCGCCGGTAGTAGACATGTGGGTCGCACTTCTCCCCCATGCGCTCCAGCGTGGCCTGCAGGGAAGGCGGCCAGGCAGGTGGCACGGCCGGCGCCACGGCTTGGCCGTTGGGGTTCCCAGATTACAACCATCCATCCTGCTGCTCTGCCACTGAGATTACCAGCAGCAGGCCCCCGCCATGTGGCATTTCCTGCACCTGCATGGCCACCAGGGCCGCAGTGATGGCCTCCAGCGTCAGCCGCACGCCTGCCACATCGCCCGCTGCCGCCGCCGCCTGGCCCGCCGGCAGCGCCACCATGGCGGGCGCGGCCTGCGCCTCGATGGCGACATGGATCAGCCTGAACCACTCCTCATCTGCGCACAGACGGCAACAGATGGCATGCCATGTCGCCAGCAGGGGATACAAAGACCGTTTGTTGGATGTGCGGAGGCAGCCAGCCGCCCCTCAGCCTGGCGCCATATTCCCCGCTCACCGATGCCCCCCAGGAAGTTGTGCAGGCAGCAGATGTTGCCCAGCTGCACGGGAGCGGCTGGGTCCAGGCGCCGCCAGTTGGCCAGGTTGTAGGTGGCATACACCAGCACGGGCGGCATGTCCAGCGCGGCTGCCACGGCGCACCAGGGCGCCGCCAGGCCGGCGGGCAGCACGCTGGGTGTGCCGGGGCCGTCGCACCACATGTAGCCCTGCGGGCAGCGGCGTGGGAGCACAGCGAAGCGCGGGAGCGAGACTTGCGGGCCCTCCTGATATTTGCCCTGATATTGCCTTCCCAACCTTGGTGCAGGCGTGACAGCTTCACATGTGCAGGCCCGGCAGAGCGCTGGCCTACTGGCTCACATGTGCCAGGAAGGACAGCAGGAGGTAGGTGCGCCACAGCTCATCGCTGCCGCCAGCCACGGCTGCCTCTGTAGGGAACGCAGGCAGCGAGAGCAGCCAGGCGCGCAGCTCGCCCCGCCCCGCCGCCACTGCATACTTGGGCAGCTGGTCGAGCGCATCCTCCCATGCAGCGTACTGCGGGTCGCTCAGCCTGCAGGCGCAAGTGCTAGCGCAGAGGCAGCTGCTGTGACTGAGGGTAGGTAGCGGCGGCGGCGGCGGTAGTGGAGGGTGTTGCACCCCCCGCTTGAGTAGCCTGCTCACCGAGTCAAAGGATCGCTTTGCGGCAGGAAGCCGCGCTCTGCTGTGACAGACTGGAAGGCCTGGCAAGCCCTCGTGCGGGGCTCCACTTTGGGCGGCCTTGCCAAGCCCCAGGCGCTGCTCACGGATGCCGCCATGTCTGGTGATGCTGGAATGCGATGCATGTGCTGAATTTATTGATGTGAACGAACTGGCGTGAACAGCCTGCTGTGCCAGCTAGACTCGCGCAAACAAAAGCAGCCACGAGCCAATACAATATTGACGACGACGCCAGTATCGGCCCTCACCAGCAGCAGAGGAGGAGGCTGGTGGGCTCCCCGCTGGCGTCCGGCCCGCTCCCAGCCATCTGGGGACCATGGGCCGCTCAGCTATGATCCCCGATGACGAGGAGGAGTCATCAACTCTGCACGAGGCCAGGCAGACCGACTGGCGGATCTATTTGAGCCTGCTTTTTGGCTCGCTCTGCGTGGTGGCCATTCTGTCGCTGGGGGCTGCGACCAGGCCCAAGTGGCAAGGTGCGGGACCGTGGATGGCGGCAGCTGACGCCGCCGGTCGGGTTCAAATCAAGCGGCGCCCGCTGGGCCCGACGGGCGGCAGTGCCAACAAATCCCGCCCGGCCTTCCCTGCAGATCTGGATGCTGGCCTGCTGTCGCGCTGGACTCGCACCCGGCACTGGCGGGCCCGCTACGCCGCGCTGCTGCACCCCGAAGAAAAGGCACCTTCCACACCGGCGGCCAGCCGTGACCAACAACCCTCAGCGGCAGGTCGCGCTTCTGCTGCTGCGAAAGCCGCATCAGCAGCAGCGGCAGCAGCCAGGGCAGCTGCAAGCGCCACGGCAAGACCCAAGGCAGCAGCAGCAGCCGAGGCGGCAGCCAACCAGCCAAGCGCCAGGCCCGCAGCCACAAAGCCAGCGGAAGCGGCAGCGGTAGCGGCTGACCAGCGCAGCGACGCGCCCTGGCAGGACCTGCTGCGCCTACCCTGGCAGCCGCTGCTGCGGCAGCAGGACGTGCAGCGCGGGCTGAGCTACTACGGCACCGGCAGCCGCATGCGGCGGCTGGCCACCAAGCTGCTGGCGGGGCGGCCCATCAAAGCCTACACGCTGGGCGGCAGCGTGACGGCGGGCCAGGGCGCCAGCCGCCCCGCCGCCAACTTCGTCAGCCGCTTCTTTCAGTTCATCAACGCCACATTCCCACACAGGTGGACAAAAAAACAGCTGTAGATTGTGAACCTGCATGTTACCTGTGTGTGGTAGGTGTGACCACACCCCTCAACTCCCCTCGACCGCCTGCAGCCGCCACGAGCTCACCAACCGTGGCGTGGGCGCCACCAGCTCCAGCATCTTTGCCATCTGCGTGGACCGCTTCGTGGCGCAGGCGCGGGCCCTGCCTGCCTGCCTGCCCGCCCGCCTGTGCACCTCCTTCCGCAAGTGCATCAGCGGCCGCTGGGCCTCGCTGAGTCGAACGCCGCCAGCTGCCTTCAGCCGCCGACAGCTGACACGGCTTTTTTTAAGCATTCGTCAGCTTCCTGCTTCCTGGGCGCCTGCAGGATGCCGACCTGGTGGTGGTGGACTTCACGGTGAACGAACCCGAGGATGCAGAGTATGCCAGCGCCGAGCGGCGAGGCTACGAGCAGCTGCTGCGCCGCCTGCTGCAGCTGCCCGGCAGGTGCGTGGCGCTGGGCGCGGTGCTGGCAGCAGTGTGGCTGGCCTGGAGAGGAGAGTGCACCGCTGCTGCCAAGGTTGCAGCAGCTAGCACCAGCAGCTCTTCCAAGCAGCACGCCAAGCTGCTGTGTTGGCCGCGCCGCCCCCCTGGCGTGCAGCCCTGCCGTCATCCAGCTGCACCACTACCGCTGGTGGCACATGGATGAGGACCGCAGCATCCATGGCGGCGTGTTCTTCACCCCGCCGGCAGAGGCGCAGCTGCAGGTCCTTGCGCATGTGAGCGGGGTGGCATGGAAAGGCCCCCAGGGCATGTGCTGCCCTCACGATTCGCGGCTGCTGAGCATCCGGTAGAGGTGGCTGGGTGGCGGCTGCCCCGAGTGCACGTGGTCATGCCGCCTCTGGTGCCCACCCGCCTCCCCCTCTGCAGTACTACGACCTGCCAGCCGTCTCGGTACGGGCGGCGCTGCACCCGCTGATGCGCGCTGGCATCCCAGGCTTCAAGGCAAGGCCCGCCTGCCTGCCCTCGCCGGCGCCTGCACCCATGCCGGGCCTGCCAGCACAAGCCCGGGCCGCTGGGCCGGCTGCCAACAGCGCCGCTGGCCGTGCTCCGGTGCTGCTCAGTGGCTGCCCTGCCGCTGCCCTCCCTTGCCCTGCAGACCGACAGAGTCTTCAACACCGGTTACCTGCCGCGCCTGCGGGGCCGCCTGCCACTGGGCGACCCGCGCCACATTGCCGACTATTTTTACTGGGACAAGTCCCACCCCACCGACACCGGGCACAAGGCGCTGGCAGAGCTGCTGGCCTCTGTGGTGCTGCGGGCGGCGATGGAGGCCTCGGCGCCGCGCACCGCGGCGGCGGCCGCCGGCCTCGGTGCCTGGGAGCGCGGCAGCCGGCTGGGTGCCCAGGACGGCGGGCTGCTGCTGCCCCCGGCCATGATCCCGGGCAACAGCGACGCCGCCACCTCGCTCTGCGCCCTCCAGGTGCTGTGCTGTTTGCCGCGGGGTGTGCTGGGCTTGCCTGATGGGGGCGCGCTTGGCTGCGCTTGCGCTATGCTGGCCACGAGGCGGGCCCCGCACAGAACCCCCTACATGGTACTGCAAGTGGTACCGCTGCTGTGTGCTGCTGCAGGAGGACTTCAAGCCCGTGGTGGCTGCCTCCTCCGGCTTCCGCTACCGGCCCGAGCGCCCCGACGCGCCCAGCCTTGTGGCGCAGAAGTGGGCTTGGACCAGCAGCGAGCCTGGTGGGCTTGGTGGCTGTACGCCGCATGTTCATGGTTGCCCCTGTGTCCAGGAGCCATTTGTTGGGGCTGCGCTGCAGGCGTTTGGGGGCAGTATCCAACGGCAGCAGTAGGGGGTGCGCTGGGATGCGCCCGCCACAGGCCGCCTCGCTCGCCTCGTTCCTGCAGGCTCCTGGGTGGAGCTTGAGTTTGACAGCCGCAAGTACGGCAGCAGCGGGCTGGGAGGCTGGAACAGCAGCGCCAGCACTGCAGCGGATGCTGCCAATGGCGAGGAGGGGAACGGAGCGGGGGAGGGGAAGGAGGGCCCCACCGCGTACATCGTGTACCTGCGCAGCTATGCCGGCGGCATGGGCACCGCCGATGTGTCCTGCGCCTCGGGCTGCACCTGCCAGCGCACCCGCATTGACGGCACCTGGCAGGAGCTGGCCTCGCTGCAGGAGATGCACCGCTTCAAGGTGGGCTGGTTGGGGTGGCGCCCAGTGTGCTTGCAGTGGTGCGTGTGACGCTCGGGCCTCTAGCCCAGCCTGGCCATGTGTGAGCCTGGCCTCGCCTGCCCTGCCCCGCAGGTGTCGCAGCATGCGCGGTGCCGCATCCGAGTGCAGGTCAGCAGCCGCCCTGGCGAGGCGCCGCAGGAGGGGCACAAGGTGTCCCTGATGGGCCTGCTGGTCAGCCACTTCCCGCTGCGGCGCACGACGAGCATGGAGCAGCTGCAGAGGGAGGAGGGCTGACGGTGCAGCGGCGGCCATCGACTGTGCAACGTGCACAGGGGTGGCGCCCGGGCATGCCAGCGCTCATTGGCGCCGGTGTGTGCCCCCATGTTGCCTGCTGCCCGTCATCTCACGTTGCTGGCACTGTAATTCCCCTTGCATTCTTTTTGAATTCTGGGCTTCAAGGGGAGCACAGGTGCTGGTTTGTTGGAGAGGCGTGCAGGCCTGGTCGTGCGCTGTGCTGTGTGCTGTGTGCTGTGTACTGCCCTGTGTTGTCCGTGTTGGATCCAAGGAGCGGCTCTTCACGTCCTCTTTCTCCCTGTTCCACCCAGTGCATTCTGCCGTTCCCTTGCCTTGAAGCCTGACAGAGTGTTCCTGTGGTCTGCACTATGAAGGGCAGCAAGGGTAGGTCGAGCCGTCGGCGCTGCCGCGCCTTGTGCAGACTGCCAGGCGCTGTGGCGGCAGCGCGACGGCTGGCTTTGAGACCTCTGACTTGCCTGCTTAGTGCCGCAGGTGGTGGTGGTGGGTCCAAGGGCGGTGGCGCCAGCGGCAAGGGCGGTGGTGCCGGTGGCAAAGGCGGCGGTTCGGGTGGAAAGCATACGCCGATGACCCAGGATGCGGCCTCCCGCATTCAGGTGAGAAGCCTTCCATCACTTAGACACAGCTCTTCTCTGTTACTGCACGCCACAGCCGAAGCTTCATGCACCCACCCTGCGTCACCCCCACTGCAGAGCGCGGAGGCTCGCGCACACGACGGCAACGTGGAGAAGGGCAGCTTTGCCTCTCGTGCTCAGGCAAGTGCTGGCAGCCTCCGAAAGCCTGTTCATCTGCGCATCGCAGTGCGGTGCGTGCAGACCCAGCTGTCTCTAGCTGCTGCCGGCTGCAGAGCGCTGCGGACAAGGCCGCCAACGTCGCCAAGGCAACTGGCCCCGAGGGCGACTGTGACTCTGAGTGACGGCGCTGGTGCAGCTCTTGAACATCGAACAAGTACCTCTCCTGTCCTGCTAGATCATAGAACGGATGGTTCCACCCATGCATGAGCACCCCTGTGATGCACGATGAGCCAAACAGCGCATGTAAATGGCTTGAGACAGCCTCAGCGGCGGCACCGCCACCGCCGCCAGCTGGCAGGGGGGTCCGATGGAACCTGAAGCCGTTTGCACGGCCAGAACCCGAAGTTGCAGCAGCTGTAAAGTCCTTCACTTGGCCCCCTCCTGCCCTAGACCCCAACCCTGGCCGCGCCGCTTTTCTTTGGCTGCTTTCCGCACTCCAGCGCCCATCGACAGCCCTTTCAGTGCACAGGGTGTCGCAAAAAGCTTGATTGCGCAGCGATGGCGGCGATCGGACCTAGCAAGGTGGTGCTTGCAAGTCAGACTGGATGCGGGCCGCCTCGCCCTTTATCCAGCAGCTTGCGACCGATGGCTACAAGACCAGCGCAGCAGCGATGCATCAAGCGGATGTAAGCTGCTGCCGCCGCTCGCCGCCGCCGCCGCCGCCGCTATTTGCATATTGTGCAGACGGTCGTCACGCTTGCACCCGTGCCGCAGGCGTCACGAGTCGCCGTGGATCGCGCGAGCCAGCAGTGGCGGCGGCGGGGGCTCCGGCAGCGGCGGCAGCCCTGGCAGCGGCGGCGGCGGCGGCGACGACGGCGGCGAGCCCGAGCCCGCGCCGCAGACGGCGGCGTTTGGGTGGAAGGGGTGGCAAGACCGCGTGGCCGCCGACCCGCAGTTTGTGTACAAGAT